TATACCCTCTCTTGGGTTCCGAGTTTACACGTGTATAGTTTTCCTGTAAGATACCCTTATTATCCTTTTGATACCTGGATAATCTGTAGTAATGGCTCTTGGTTTATGTCTGGGACTTTCTTCTTTGTCACATTTTTTGTAGGTAGGTAAGTTCTGTAAATCTTTCCAAATAGCCATCTGTTTCGTTGCTTTTATGTCTTCAAATGTCTCAGAAGACACTGACTTTTCCTCTTCTATTTATTACCCCCTTCTGCTTGCTCTGGGCCTCTTCTGCTTTTATTTTTTATTTGCTAGGTCTAGTAGGCTATACCTTTGACTTTGAATTTTCTTCTGTTGCTGTTGTATATTTTTCTGAGACAGAAACTCACTCTGTAATCCAGACTGGCCTTGAACTCATGGCAATCATCCTGCATTAGTCTCTCAAGTAATGGAATTACAGATGTGAGGCACGACACCTGGCTGGGCTTTAATTTTTTAAGGTAAGCAGTCATTGCTATAAATTTTCCTCTTAATATAACTTTATCTGTGTCCAACTAACTTTGATATATTTTAATTTCTCATGCTTTTCCTTTTTTTACAAAACAACTTTTTTATCGAGCTTTTAAAATTTCATATATTTCCCACTCAAATCCAGAGCCCCCCCATCCATGCCTCCCCCATCCCCCCACTGAACCCTGTGTACTCTGCCATGCCTGCTTTTCAATGTACTGTTTCTTGTCCTTGAGACATCCTCTTTACAAGTCTAGTCACTTAATTTTTGGGAAAGCATGTTTAATTCTTGATTGAGGTTTACATCATGATGTTATAAGCTAAGAATAAATGGAAACTTTTACTTTAGTGAAGTCAGATATTATATTTACAATCACAAGCATTTGAATATTGTGTTTGATGAAAGCAGCTGAAGTCTGTTTAAGAAATTTCCTAACACTGTATAATTTCATTAGCTTTAGTGTTCTTGGTTTACATTAAATCTCCACCTCTGTTTACCCTAGATATCACCTACTTTTCTCCTTTTGACCTGTGTCTTTAATGTCCTACAAGAAATTAGCTTTGTTTTGCACACCTAAAATACAGTTATATGATAATTGTGTAATAAATACTAAATAATAACTTTGAAGAATAAGTTTTGAAAATACATCTTCTCTTTAAAAGTCCTTTGGAGAAACAATTAAAAATAGCTACACAAAAGATTATCTACAAAAAGCGTTTTCAAAATATTCTTCTTGAATATGTTCATTTTGGGAACTCTTTATGTCTACCACGGAACACAGAAAGTTATCATAATAGCTGTGTTTTTGTAAATATTTTATTTTTTTAAAAAACATTTTTTTATTATTTTTATTTTATATGTATGAATGCATTGTCTGCATGTATGTGAGTGCACTCGTGTTGTGCAATGCCATGGAGGTCAGAAGAGGGCTTCGGATTCCCCTGGAACTGGAGTTAAGGACGGTTCATAGCCGCCACGTGGGTGCTGGGAATCGAACCCAGGTCCTCTGCAAGAGCAGTGAGTGCTCTTAACCGCTGAATCATCTCTCCAGCCCCCTATTATTTTTATTTTATGTATATGAGTGTATTGCCTGAATGTATGTGAGTGCACCCGTGCCATGCAATGCTGCAGAGGTCAGAAGAGGGCTTCGGATTCCCCTGGAAATAGAGTTACAAACGATGGTCTTAGCTGCCATGTGGGTGCTGGGAATCAAACCTGGGTCCTCTGCAAGAGCAGTCAGTGCTCTTAAACGCTGAGCCATCTCTCCAGCCCCCATAATAGTTTTCTTAATAGACACTTGCTGACAATTGAGATGAACTTATTAAAGAAGACAAAGTTGTATCTTATTTGATGTTGAGAGCTTGGGAGGTCATCATAGATATAGGAAGTTGATTGTATGAGTAAAAGATTGGAGAGACAGTTTGTTGTTTGAAGTATCTCAACAAGATTATCAACTTGACTGTAGTGAGGGGTTTCAAGTGTGTGAATGAGTACAGTAGACCCTTTCTTAGGGTTCAGCGGGAACTTAGTAGATTAAGACTGACCATATTTACTCCTAAAAACTGGACCCTGTCAGAAAGTCCTAACCATGGAACCCACTGATACACATACTTCACTAAGAAGCAATGGAGAGTGGTTTCAGTGTCCCAATTTTTTTTTGGTTTGTATATATATATATTAGAAGAAGCATTTCCTTACAGCTTTAACAAACTCAATAACAATTTCCAGAGCAAAGATACATCTGTTTCAAAAGTAGCTATAAAATTTTTAGGTTCACAGTTGAATTAATGCAGTTATACAATATTGAACTCAGTATAAACCCTGTAAGACATAAAACTGGATGAGCTTTTAGCCTTTAAAAAAGATCTCCATTTCATTTTAAGGTATACTGTTTCTTACAGAAAGACTCATTGTTTTTGCTAATAACACTTAGATGTTGGCACATGCATCTCTAATATATATGTATCTGATTATTACTAGTCATGGTCAGTTGCACTCGAATCCTTGGCACCTGTATATGAATATAAAGTCATCGGGTAGATTTCAATAGTAATGTTTATCACCTTTACAACTTAACATGACGTAAATTTTTATCCTTCCTCCTCAAATATAACTCATTTTTTAAATTAGTTGATTTTTTTGTGTATATCACACAGAACATCCCAATCCTATTCATCTATATACCCACTTCCCAGATGGCACCCTCCCATAGCCTCTCCCCCAACTAGAGCCCTTTTACTGTTGTCCCTGCTACTGTCTGCTGTGTTTTTGGCACCCCCAGCCATTCCCCACTACTTGTCCATCTGGTGAATCAAGTCAGCCTATCTAGAGGTCTTTGTTTTAGGAAGGTCAGCTGTTCCTCATCTAGCAGCAATCAGTTGTCAATATTGCTTTAGATAAGATTGGGGTCTGCTGTTCATTTTACCAGCTTTATGCTGGGTTACTATCTGTGAGTATCTTGGGCCACCCTGGCCAACAACTCAAAGGACAATGCCTGGCATTGTTTCTTGTTATATAGCCATGTCCTAACTTCTTAAGTGACAAGTAATATGAATTATGTTTCAGAGAGACCATCAGTATCAATTTGAGTGGGTTTGCAATAATTATTACAGTGATTTGGGTGACAAACTGTACATTTAAATGCATGTTCTTTTTTTCCATAGTATGTTTTAACATCTTTACTATGCATGGCAGAGCAGTGGAATTAAACCGTGTTGGACTGACTTTATTTCACAGGCCATTCTGCTAGACCACGCTCTTGAGCCTCCCCATTTATTGTTCATCTCAACTACTGAGGTCTCATTACGAGATTCAGTTTTTGTTTTCCCTTAATCCCATAGCCAGGATTTGAAGTTGGGCTTTTGACGTTGCATTGCATTGTCACCTCAGTACTTAGGATGATAGCAAAGATGTTTCAGGTACTCAGAGTTCTTGCTGAATAGAAATTATTTTACAACTATGTGGCTCTTTCATTTATTCAAAGACGTTATTACCCACAATTCAGCCTATAAAATATGATGTCAATTTACTGCTGTGGGGCTATGGATAAAGGGCTCATATTTCTTTTCCTTCTTCATTCAGGCAGTGTCTCATCAGACCTTCAGATTAGGGTACAGCACATGTGGAGAGCACAGAGGAGCTTCCATCAGTCAGTAAACAATTAAGAAACTGGCCTCTGATTCATGTTCTGAGCTAACATGTAACCATGGCACTTATTACCCATTTTCATTGTTTATGGAGAAGCAAGTAGATGAATAGCTCTGCCTGATTTATGAAGTGTTTGTCTTCTATAAATCACAAAGTAGAAACCTAGCATGCTGCTAATCCTAATTGGTTAAGTCCTAAGTAGGGAGTGATGAGAAAGTCTTCAGGTGTTTCATGAAAATGAGTGAGATACAAAGCTCCTTTGGAGGAAATTCCCTCTGCTCATACCATGTAGTAAAGTCTTCCATCCATTGCTACTTCTCCCTCTTCTCTCTCGGTGATCAACCCCTGTTGATCATACTTTGGTAGACAAATTACAGAAAATAATGTTGCATAACAATCTTTATAGAAACAGAACATTGTTTTCCTGATTTCTCATTTATTAATTTCAATCTGGATTAACTTTTTGTTTTCAATAAATCATCTTGATGAAGCAGAGGTATCTGGTGTGACCCACAGTGCTGTTTGGTAGAATGCACAACATTTGGGCTTGGGGTCCTTGCTAACCTGATTCCAACCTCACTCTGTGCTGGGAGAAGATGGCATGGCACTTTCAGACATTCAATGTACATTTAAAAGCATGCATGCACCTTCTGGGCTTGATCATCTGAAGTTTAAGTTATCTGGAGAATGTTATGTATGCCAGCCTGTCTTCATCTTTTAAATGGAAATCTGAGTCACAGAAAATTGCATTCTCAGTTGTCAGAGGAAGAAAGCAGCTCACAGATTTTGAATGTTGTTCTTCTCAATCTCAAGGGACTGAATGAGGAGAGAGAAAAACATTTAAGGAAGCAATGAGTCTTGAACTCACATCAGCTGTGGTTCCCTGCACACTAAAAACCTACACAATATCAAGCCAGTTAAAATTCCAGCAGGAATGAGGTTCACAGGGCTCATCCCTAGCTGAGGAGTTACTGTTGGAAGTTGATGGCTGCTGAGAAGAGTCCGTTTTCTTCAGGTGTATGGCCTCTGGTAGATTTCCCATTCTCCAGTGGGTGGCTCCACACCCATGCACATACAGGCAGGGAGCAGTAGATTAAGAAAGAAAAGAAAATGATGTGATGTTAGGAGGAGGATGTGGGACAATCTTGGAGGAGATAAAAGGGAACGTCAGGGGTGGATATGATCAAAATATATTGCATACATGTATGAAATTGTTGAAGAATAAAGTAGGAAAAAAACACAGGTAGGGAAACTGGCCCCGTTTCATTTCCTTTCCTCCTCTCTCCAACACCTTCTATTTCCCTCTCTCTCTGTACTTTCCTTTCCTCCCTCCATTTATCTCTTCACTTGGAATGCATTGCAGGTGCAGCAGCAGCAGCAGCTGCAGCAGGAGTACTTCTGAGGTGGATGATGAGCCATCCTGCATGGAAGAGATTGAGTACAGTGCAGAGAGCAGCTCAGACCCAGAGCAGAGCTTCTCTGAGCTGGACAGGCAGATCCAGGAGTGTGCCTTCAACAAGGAGGAAGAAGAGGAAGAAGAGGAAGGGAGAGTACGGAGAAGATCTGTCCCATAATCCTGAAGTTCAGATCCAGTTCTGTGTCTCCAGCCATCGGACTAGCGGTCAACATTTGGTTTTTCACTGTCATATACACACACTGTATCAGTCAGTGGAAAAAAATTAGTCTGTGTGGGCTTAGCGCCATATGTTTTCATTTTGTTCTAGTTTTACTAGGCATGGAGGCTGGCTACTCCATAGTTAAAGGATTTTATATACACAGCATGTTATCGCTGAACGTAAAAGGGACTCAGTGTTATTTGCAGGATTGTGGTGTAGCCTCTGTACACTGTCCTGGGCTCTCCTCCAGCCCTTTGACAAGGAAGCAGCCTGGGAGCAGAGGAGTAGACTTCCTTCTGGATTTTCAGTTTGAGTTTTAAGCAATTAAGTTGTTCCAAATATGAATATCTTGATATCACAGCACCTGCCCTTTCCAGCACAAACTTGAGCCCTGCTGGGACACTGACCATCTTCACACGTCTTCCCGTAGTAAGTAATTGAACATAAATGCCTATGAGACTATGTCATAGCCAGTACCACCCTTGATCTCTGTAACAGTGCACTTTTCGAAAGGTAGTAGAAGCCAGAAGCTGGATTAGATTCTGTGGAAAAGGACACAGTCATTTGTCTTCACCAATTTCAGACTTGTACCTATATAGGCCATTTAAACACGCTGGAAGATACAAGATGCACTGGGAAATTCATTTGTTGCAGAATCAGACAGACAGATGTGGTTCATATCCTGGATCTGGCAGTGGCTTGTTCTGAAAACTTCAGCAAGTAATTAAAGCTCTCTAAACTTTGGGATTTTATGCGTGAAATGGGAATGGGCATATCTATATCACAAAGTTATGGTAAAGATGAAATGAGATGGTTTATGAAAGTGTGCAACTTGGCACCTGCAACATAATAACATTGGCTTACAGCACATTTCCCTCCCAGTGCAGAGCATTTGCTGTGTTTGCACAGTTATGAAGAAACATTCTCTGGGGGTCACATGATTGAAAAGTGTTTCTTCCTGGAAGAGATCTGGGAAGGCAGTTATAAAGAAGTATTTGGAAGGGCTTAACATAAGGAGAAATGTAGCAAGGCCTTTTAGCATATAGAGGGACACAGCTTAGAGATCTGAACTGTGAGATCCACAGGGCCTGTGCACAGAGTGAGACTAAGATGCACAAGCTAGGTCACATATAGATCTGTTCAGATGCCATTCAGGTTCTGTTAGGATTGGATTTGATTATGAGAGATGGACATTTCAAAATAGTGCTATATTTTGTGTGTTGTTTTATAAGGAATGAAGGAAATGATCTTGTTGCAATGTAAACACTGGGGAGTACAGGGCAAAAGGAACTTCTCATCAGCAATTAGTACCCAGCCTTGAACAGTTTGGGAATTAGTTTCTAGTCATTTAGAACAATTCTGAGTGACCAGAACAGGAGTAACTTCTCCAATGAGAGTTTGGAAAAAGTCATGGATGTGGAATATTTATTGGTCAAGCTGTTCAAGGGAAATATATAAAGAACCTCTTATGTGTTATATATTCTCCTGAGCTCTTAGAACACAGATAAAAATATTCACTGTGTCTTGTATTTCAAAAGAATAACTTGTGTGTGATCAATAAACATTTTATTTTATTGCAGTAACATGGACCATGATGAAATTCTGCAAAGGATAATGTGGAAAATATTTACCCTAATTTATATATTTATGGTGGTAAAACTCTACCAGAAGAAAATAATAGTTCAAATGATTCTTAAAAGAATACATGAGTTTTCAGAAAAGAAAGGGAGGATGGACATGCTAAGAAGTGGGAAGCATTTATGCAAAGGCCCTATAATGAGGTTAAGGTTTAGAATTCAGTGTTCCATGCGACCGGTTTAAAAGATGCATTTGTATATTGGGAAAGGAGAAAGGTGTTATGAGATGAAATTGAAAAGGCAGACAGTAGTCAGACTGGGCAATATTTGGCAGGACTTGATGAAGATGTTGAATTTGGTTTGGAATGTGGCAAGGCAGAGCGTTTCTCAACAGAGGCGTCTCAACAGAGGCACATCCAGTATGCATATTCATGGCTGGTTGGTTGGTCGCCTCTCCATGCAAATTGCTCACTGATTTGAGGACTACCACTGTGTATGGCATCATGTTTGCAGAGCAGAACAGTTCTAATGGGGTGAATATAGTGAACACAGTTTGGGGCCATGTTGATTGCTCTCTGTCAATCAACCTAAAAGACATTGAGTAGGAAAGGATTCCTATAAATGAGAGGTGAATCAGGAAATGGAAAAGAAGACTCATCCCTATAAGCACCCCACCCCCACAAATACAAATATAACCCAGTTGAAATGTATTTTTTCTTCTGTAAAACCTTCCTTAACCGCCTCAAGCCACGTTGTAATTTCTTGTTTGTGTCCCAATATCACAGTTTATCAATCTCTTTTATGGTATTCTTACCATCTCCAAATGATGTATATTTATTTTAGACCCCATCCCATGTACCATTGAACAGTGGACTCTAAAATCCATAATCCTCCATAGAGATTTCCATCTTGGCATCTATCCTTGTACTTAGCATACTTCTTTACATGTTGAGGTTTTAACAATGTGTCACTACTCCTACCTCCCACCCAGGTTCTAATCCAAACTTCCAACATCCAAGTAGCATTCTAGCACAGCTTGCTTCTCAGGTTGGAGGTTACTATGAGGACTGTTTCCTGTGTGGGAAAGCCTAAAAAGGAGCTGATGACCTTGTCCTGCCTATATGATGCAAATGGTAGTGTGGGAAGCATAGAGGGGCAGCACCTCCCTGTCCACCGTAGCTGCAACATCCATCCAAGTGCTATAGAACCAACGCTCACTTAGGTGAGAACTGATCATGTGTGTAGTGCCAACCTAATTTCTTGGGCACTTCTTACAATCCCATCAGTGAAAATTGGCACCCAGTAAGTTGATCCATTGTCTCCAGTTTCTTCTGTGCCTCCAGAGAAAGGATTCCAAGTCACAAAGAACATTTGGAAACAGCCTTATCCGTGAGTTATGAGCTCACATCTAGGGCTGCCAATATAAGGAAGGAAACATTACACCCCAAAGGGAGGTGAAGTCCTCACTCCAGCTTCCATTTTTCAGCCTGGAAAAATCAGCTGTGGAGTAGATTTCATATTCCAAGAGGAGCCTGTTCCCTTTGCCAAGAGAAGAGGCTTCCAGGAATGCCTGACATAAGTCATCCTTGTTAGGGACTCGGCACAGTAACCTGGAGGGTCGATTGAACATTTGAGTCTACATTAGAGTGATGGATTTGTTTTGCCCTTCTGGTATCTTTCACCCAGGATTCCCCAAAGGCTCCAGCCTTGGAATGACACACAGACAGTAGCTGATACTGACTATGAGAGATTTTTGGGCAACAATAATTTATCAGGCCTGGAGCCTGTTGTTGTCTGCCCAACAGATGTCCCCTTTGTTTCTGCTGCAGTTTGGCTTTTTGCATGCCCAGTGGATTCTTGATAACAAAGTATTGTGAGAAAAATAGTGAGTGGTTAAAGGGAATTTTGACAGGAAATGGATTTCAATAGCTAATAATAAGAAAGACACCATTGTATATCATTTAAAAATAGGTTACATATATCTAATGCAATAAACATGGCATTGAACTTGAATTTCCTACAGCCAATGCTTTTTTTGAGTCCATATTGTCAAACAGAGCATCAGAGACCTTGGGTAAAAGGTGAGACTCATTGATGATAAGCATTTGACATAAACTTGTCACCTAGTGTGTGTGTGTGTGTGTGTGTGTGTGTGTGTATACTCTGGGTCTACTTGGTTCACCCTGTAAGATAGGTTCTGTCCTTGAAAGAGCACACACTGAAAGAATGAATTGAGCACAGTCAAGTCTCATGCCATGTGACTGAGGCAAACCTACTGTCCTACATCCAGAGGTTTTAATGATTTTTTTTTATAGTTTCTAGGGTTTAGAAAGGTTAAAATGATTTTGTGGTATCAGGCAAGTATTATGATCTCCCCTTATACAGTAATACTATTGAACTCGTGTTTCTCTAGAAGAATACAGTTTGGATATTTGAGTGTAGCCTTGGTCTTCGAGTGCGGAGTAAAACATGGCAGTGAGCTCATACCAGATGTAGAGGAGGGAATCAAAGAGACTAACAGTCCTGTGTTCAAGCATCCAGGGTATGGAAGTTAAAGGAGTGAACTTTCTCAGATAAAATAGGAAACAGGCCCCTTTCATACTTCAGGCTTAGTAGGCAGTGATTTTAGAAGGCAAGGGAGAGAAGTCCTGTTCATTATCACTTTAAATTTGTGGGAAAGTGGGCATAAGAGCCACATTTTCAAACTGACGGCTCTCAGTATAAGGGAAATTTTAGTAACAGGGGGAATTAGACACTGTGCCAGGGAAGTTGGACTCTGTCCCAAAGAAGTCAGACTTCCCCATTCTTGTTCTGTCCATATCAACAGAGGAGGTGAATATAAATAGGACCACAGCAATGGCTGAATATGACTGAGAAGGTAAGGTCTTATCTAATTCCTTGCAGGAAGCATGGAATGCCTTTATATAGGAAGCTGTCTCCTAAAAACAACATGGAAAAGTGTTTACTTTAAAAGACCCTGAAACCTTTAGAGGCCAGGGAACAGCTCCCTATCCACAGGAAAGTATGTTCTCTGTTGTTGTTGTCTTCATCCCCTTACCAAAGTAGAGATAACTTGTACTAGACATCTCTGTAAAACACCTCACTTAAGTCAAACTCAGCAAGTTCAGTCATTTTGCTCATAATCCCCTTCCACTTGAGTCTACCACCAAGTTCCTAAACTTGATCCTATCCATGGGAGTCTCAGTTGCTCTGTTTATCTGATGCATGGCCAAAATTCAGAACAGCCCCTTAGTGCTTCAATAAATGGATGAAACAGATAATGTGGTCCAGTCTGACTCCAGCCTCCATGTGAGTCTGTCCATTGACTGTTCTTGTACCATTTCTCCAATGCACTTAACATGGATTTAAGCAACTATGTCC